GCCCGAGAATGAAGCAAGCACAAAGTTGTTAAGGTGCGTGTACATCTTCTGTTTACTCCTTAATGCAAAAATCGTGGGCTTGGTCCAAGACGAACTAGCCGGGAAGACTGGCCAAATTATCTAAACGAATCCTGTGTCTCAGGGATAGGGGATGCTAGTTGGAGAATGTGGGCCTACAGGATCCTCCAAAGTCCTTCCAGCCCCAGGCCAAGGCCAAGCCTGGGCTCTGTCATTAAGCAAAGGGAGCCCAGTCCAGCTTCCATCTCTACATGGGCTCAGTTTACTCCCTCTAAGATGGAGGTGCTAGTTCCTGCCCGGCGCACCTCCCCAGAGGTAGGAAGGCCGGATGGGGCAGTTTGCATCGGGGTGCTCTGGACTCTGGACTGAGCGATGTGGAGCTGACCCTCTGGTCGGGGAGGACCTGCGCTCTCTCTCACTAGCCCATCCTGAGTTCGAGCCACGCTCTCCCAGCAAGTGACCTCAAGGAGAGGCCAGCTGCCTGCCAACTAAGCAGGGCGGGCTGGGACCTGCCAGTTCCTTCTTGGGACCTCAGATGGTCTCTGCGCCGTCTGCCAGGCCAAACCAGCCCGAGTGCAGGCTGCTCTGAGTCCTCTGAGGATAGCCGGGGCTCTTCCCAGCACTTTTAGGAGCCTTGCCAGATGGGCTGGTGGAATTTCACCAGTGTCCCTCTGCCTGCCCTAGTCAGCGTCCCCAGCCCCTCTGAACCCAGACAAGCTCTGGTGAACTCAAAGTGACCTGGGAGGATTTCTCTGTCAAGATTCCAACTGCGGCTCCATACTTGTCCCTTTGGATGCTGGGCCAATGTATCTTTTCAGCCCTCCTGTGCACAGAGCCTGTTCCTGTTTCCTGCATTCAGTTCAACTCCCTGAACTCCTACAGGTCCTGGGGACTGTGTGCCATCCAAGGGCTCACAGTCTAGGATAGCACATCCTAAAGAACTTCCTGTGATGACGGAAATGTTCTATGGCTGCATTGACCAACACGGTGGCCAGTGGTTAGCACACACTTGCTATGTGGCTGGTGCTGCTGAGGAACTGAATTTTAAATTTTATTTAATTTTAATTATTTAAATTTAAAGTTTAAAAACCAGTCCAATTGAAAAATGGGCAGAATATCTGAATAGACATTTTTCAAAGAAGACATACAGATGGCTAACAGGTACCTGAAAAGGTGTCAGCATCACTAATCATCAGGGAAATGCAAATCAAAACCACAATAAGCCCTGGCCGGTTTGGCTCAGCAGTTAGAGCATCGGCCTGCGGTCCAGAGAGACCTGGGTTTGGTTCCCGCTAAGGGCACGTGCCTCGGTTGCAGTTTGTCCCTGGCCCTGGTTGGGTCGTGTGGGAAGCAGCCACTCGATGTCTCTCTCTCACATCGGTGTTTCTCACTCTCTCTTCCTCTCTCTCCCTCCCACTCTATCTGAACAAAAAATGGAAAAATGTCTTCAGGTGAGGATAAAAAAAACAAAAACAAAAAAACAACACAGTGAGCTATCGCCTCACACCTGGTAGAATGGCCATCATCAAAAAGACAAGAAATCACGTGTTGGTGAGGAATATGGAGAAAAAGGAACCCTTGTGTACTGTAGGTAGGAATGTAAATTGATGCAGCCACTATGGAAAACAGTATGGAATTTCCTCAAAAAATGGAAAACTGCCACATGACCCCTCTGAGAGAACAAAAACACCATTTGGAAGACGCAGTGTGTGTGCTCACATTCACTGCAGCATCATTCATAATCCAAGCACATGAGCGACCTAGGTATCCATCAGTGGATGAATGGGTGAAAAAGCTGTGGTGTATGTATACACACAATGGAATATTATTCAGTCATTAAAAAGAAGGAAATCTTGCCATTTGCAACAACATGGATGGACCTTGAGGGCCTCATGCTAAGTAAAATAAGACGGACAGAGGAAGACAAATACCATACGACCTCACTTATTTCTGGAACCTAAAAACAAAACGAAACAAAAAACTGCCCTGGCGGGTTTGGCTCAGCAATTAGAGCGTCGGCCCGCGGACCAAAGAGTCGCAGGTTCCATTCCAGCCAAGGGCACGTACCTCGGTTGCGGTTCTTACCCGGCCCTGGTCGAGGTTGTTGGGTGGGGAGGTGGGGTCGTCTCTCTCACATCAGTGTTTCTCTTGTCTTTCTCCCCCTCCCACTCTATCTGAAGATATTTGAAAAAATATCCTCAGGTGAAGCTTTAAAAAACAACAACAAGCTCATAGATTCAGAGAACAGATTGCTAGTTGCTGGAGGTGTAGGGGGTTTGGGGTGGGTGAAATGGGTGAAGGGGATCAAACAGTAAAAACTATAAAAGCCACGGGGAAGTAATGTACAGCAGGGCTATGTGTTAACTATAGTTAATAATACTAGATTGCATATTCAAAAGTTTTTAAGAGTAAATCTTAAAAGTCCTTATCACAAGAGAAAAACTTTTTATAATTGTGTATGATAACAGATGTCAGCTAGGCTTATTGTGGCAGTCAGTTATCAAATCATTATGTTATACACCTAAAACTAATATATGTTGTATGTCAATTACACCTCAACTTAAAGAGTCACATGTGGCTAATGGCTACTGTACTGAGCAACCCGGGCTCGTTGAAGAGACAGATATGGAGGCAGGTGACCCAAATAAAGAGATGGATGGGCGGGGGGAGAGAGGGACATGCAGTGTGCCACTTGCGTGTGGAGCGGGGGAAGGTCACTCCAGGGATCAGGATCAGGAAAGGCCTGGTTGGAGAGGGGGCCTTGGCGATGGATCTTAAAGCACTAGGGATACACCAGCCGGGCATAAGAGGTCAGGGCATTCCATGTGGAGGCAGGAGGGCACATGTTTAGAAGCAGACCTCTGCCGGCACCAGGTCCCGTGTACCAGACCCCCGGGGTAAACAGGCTGACTTGGGCCTGAGAGAGGAAAGGAAGACAAGGACTAAAGCGTGCGGCTTGAGTGCCAGACTGAGGAGGAGGTGGGGCTTATCCTGTTGGGTTATTAAAGGGAATGAACTGAGATCCTCCAGGTTGAGCACAAGGCACTGGACACAAAGTAAGCTCTCAATAAATAGTAGCAGTTACCAGCAGAGGGAGGCCATTGGAGGGGCGTTGTGTGTTTCTGTTTGCTTCTTCTTTAGATCAATTTGGGAATATTGCCATTTTAGCAATATTAAATCTTCTAATCCATGAGTATGGAATGTTTTTACATTTGTTTAGGTCTTGTCTAATGTACTATGCCATTTGCAATTTTCAGTGTACAAGCCTTTATTTTTTGCTTTTAGAGAAGAGAAAGGGAGAGGGAGAGATAGAAACATCGATGAGAGAGAATATATACTGCATGCCCCCCACTGGGGACTCGGCCCACAACCTGGGCATGTGCCCTGACTGGGAATCAAACTGGCGACCTCTTGGTGCATGGGTAGATGCTCAACCACTGAGCCCCACCTTTACTCCTTTTATTAAATGTATTTCTAAGTATTTTCTATGTTATTATAAATGGAATAGGTTTCTTAATTTCATTTTTGTTGTGTTTATTACTAGTATCCAGAAATAAGCTGACTTTTGGATATTGATCTTTATGCCCTGCAATCTTACTGAACTCGTGCATTGGCTCCAGTAGTATTTTGTGGATTCCTTAGAATTTTTTATGTACAATATTGAGTCATCTGCAAATGCAAATCATTTTGCTTCCTCATTTCCAGTATGGGTGCCTTTTATTTCTTTTTCTTGCTTAATTGATTTGGCCAGGACTTCCCAGACAATGTTAGTGAAAATAAACATCCTTATCTTATCCCTCCTCTGAGGGGACAACTCTTTAACCATTAAGTATGTTGTTGCTTTCTATGTCTTTTCAAACCTCTTTAAGATTACATTTGTTTTTTATCTTATTATACAGGGGTGGGCAAAACTAGGTTTACAGTTGTGAGTACACGAAAGTTACCCTTGTTTTATTATTTCTTAATTATTGTATTGTTTATTTGTATTACAACTAGAAACCTTATTTTGCCCACCCCTGTACATGGTAACAGAAAACTCAAATACAATAAGGTATAAAGAAGAAAACAAAACTGCCCAAATCCCACTATCACCGATAAACACCCAGGCCTTGTCAATGTATATATACCTGTATGAAAAGTAAAGGCACTTTGACTTAAATATGATTGTGTAACTAGGCTTTTTTCTCTACTTGGCACTGTTTCAGTCATCTTTGTGGGCCAGTGACCATAGATTCACGCCATCACTTTACAGCTGCTGTGAAGCTGACTGTTGTTATTTGAGCAACTCCCCTTGATAGATGTTCAAGCTGTTCCCTTTCTTTCCTCGCTATTATAAACAAGACTGATGAACATCCTCATATCCTTGCGGCCCTGTGTATGGCCAGGTTTTCCCTTTTTTTAAAATCTTTGTCAGGTGATCGCTGTAGATTTGGGGCTAGGGACATAAGAGGCTGTAGGAAGCTGACTCTGGCATTCCCAAGCCTCTGTGTGACTTTGGGCAAATCCTTTTCCCTCTCTAGGCCTCAGTGTCTTCATTTGTAAATTGAAGATTAGTCTAAATGACTGATTAGCAAACCTGGCTGTATATTGGAATCACCTGGGGAGTTTTAACAGCCACAGACACCTGAGCCTCACTCCCAGTTACTCTGAATTAATTAGCATGGGGAATAGCCTGGGCGGCAGGATTTTTTTTATTTCCTTGGGACTAGATGCTTTGAAGGTCCTTCCTGCTCAGACCTTCTAGGACGGCTACTGTGGGCCAGTGGAAAGATCTGTCCTTGGTGTCCAGTGGCCCTAGGTTTGAATCCCAGCTTATTTTCTCCTGGCTGTGTGACCTTTCACGTTCTCCAGGCTTGTACTTCTTGCTCTTGGAGTGGGTGGTGAAATCCCAGCCCCGCATTCAGGGTGTCCGCTGGGTAGAAAAGGGTTCAGGTCCCACCCAAATGGAATGAGTGGTAACTCTTGTTCTTTCTTGACCAAAGAGCCAGCCCCTGGGCAACAAAGTGGAAATGGAGATCGTGAGCATGTTGGAAAAAAACACAACGCTTCTGAAATTCGGCTACCACTTCACCCAGCAGGGGCCCCGGCTGCGGGCGTCCAACGCCATGATGAACAACAACGACCTTGGTGAGTGGAAATGTGCTGCCTGCCCACCTACCTGTCATCTTTCCACCTGTCCTGGGGGGAAGGCAGGGACATTTTCACCGATACCTTCTCCAGGGAGTCTTCTTGGTGAGCCTGACTCCAACTTTCATGTTGGTTACATTTGTTTTCTGTGTTTGTACCTCGTCTTCTCCCTGGGCTGTGAGCAGCCTGTCTCGAGGAGCCAGGGCTGGGTCCCCTCCTCCCTGCAGCAGAGCTCAGCTGAGGGCTGGGCCCAGAGGGCCCCCTCAGCAGTGAGCTGAGTGGAATGAGACGTGGAAGAACACAGGCTCCCCCTGGGTCTCCTCCTCCAAACACCCTGTGAACGCAACAATTCCGTCCAGATCACAGTCTGGCTCTAGTCCCGGACCCCAAAGCCCCCAAGCAGCCCCAAGCCTGGGATTTCTCTTTTCTTTTAAGATAAAAGCTGAACTTGTTGACTTCATAGTAAACAGGTTACCTTAATTGAATCTCAGTTAAAGGCATAGGTTGTCTTTTCTAAAAAGAAAATGTCACAGTTTTTCTTGTGAGCATACACCCAACAGGTATCTAAGTCAGTTGAATGAAAAGTGAGATCAATCACCGAGTTTTCCAGATGCCACTTGTTCTCAAGCTCTGTGTGTAGTTATTTATCATGTGTGTTCCTGCTGACTGCTAAAAGAACTTGATATGGTCTCCAAAAAGGAGTGTGTCTGATGAGGCTATAGGAAAATTAGACAAAATAAAAAAAAACAAGAAAAGGAGTAGGTCGAATATGTTAACATAATTTATTATATTTAGCCGTGAGTTTGCAAGGCCCACGGCAGGAAGAGACAAACCAAGTTACATTATTCTTATTATGGACGAGAAGGAAGCATGAGAGTTGAAAGAAACAAAGAAAGAAAGCTGCTTTCTGGGATTGAATTATGAAATAACTTATGTTTTCTGAAGGACAATGTGTTCAGTGAGTTTTTCATCAAATTCAAACTTGCTTTATCTGTGGCGGGTGGTGTTTTGTCTCTCACACTCGTAGAATACAGAGAGCCTAGTGCTGGCGGACGTGGTGATGACTGAGGCAGGGCAAAGCCTGGGAGGGTGGAGATGAGTACGCACAGGCAGATACTCACAGAACCTCTGCCTGGACAGCCCCGGAGCCACACACACTGTAGGTTGAGTTAGCCAGTCCAACAGACATTTGTCAAAGTCCTGTAGGGCATTGGGTGTTGAAGATACGGTCCTTGCTCTTAAGGATATCACAGCCCAGAGGCTATTCAGTCATTACTTACTCTAGGGCTGCAGGTCTAGGAAGGTCCATAAAACAAACACATGCACCCAGTGTCCTGGTTTATCTGACATGCCGTCTTTTAAAATAAAAGAAGAACTAACACTAATAACTAAGAGTCACAATGAGTTTGGTGCCCCGGAGGTGATAGCCACCCCGAACTGTTGAGGGAGGCCATCAATCTAAACTCCAAGGGCCCAGTTGTGATCAGGCTTCAGAATAAGCACTTAGCAGCGGTTCTCAACCTGTGGGTCGCGACCCCTTTGGGGATCGAACAACCCTTTCACAGGGGTCACCTAAGACATAACAGTAGCAAAATTACAATTATGAAGTAGCAACAAAAATAATTTTATGGTTGGGGGTCACCGCAACATGAGGACCTGTATTCAAGGCTCGCAGCATCAGGAAGGTTGAGAACCAAAGCCTTTGGTTGTATTGCGCTATGCAATAGCCTCACACTGTCCTCCCCGCTGAGACTGAGCCTCCTGGGTGGCCCTCAGTGCTTCTCTCAGGGCTAATCCAGCTTCGGTCTTTCATTAGCAAGATGGTCTGAAGGTCTTTTTTTCTGGGAACAGAAGGCTCCAGATGACTAGAGACCAGAAGTGCCATGGGGGAGAGGGGGAGGAGACACCAACATCAGCTGGAGGTTAAATGAAATGCCCTGGAGGACTCTCTCAATCCAGAGAGTCTGTAAACCCAAAATCCAGGCTCAACTCCTAACACAAGGGATCTTCTGAGGTTATGGCAGGACCCTAGAGTGCCCGAGCGAGAATGACGTCAGGCCCATCCCCACTTCCCTATGGAAAAAGTGCAGCCTGGGAGGGACTGCCCTTCTGCAGTGGCTCGGTCAAGTCACACGAGTAGTAACTTACAGCAAGCCCTTTCGGAGCATCGTGTGTGTGCCCAGGATTGTGCTCGGTGACATACGGGGTAACAGAAAGGCTAGTTCCTGGGCTCAAGAGCCCGGATATTTTTTAGAGAAGAGACTCAAAGATGTGCCTACAAATTCAAGAATGCCTGAACACTATTCCCAAATAAAATGAGGCCAGTAAAACAAAGCATCCTGGTTGGGGTGGGCCTTCGCCAGCCTTGAAAGGAAGAGAGGTTGTGGGGAGGTCAGGAAGCATTCCTGATGTGGGCACTAAAGACAAGGTGGTTGGCCCCAGTGTTGCAGGACAAGAGAGACAGATCTAAAAGGACTGAGGAACTATTATGGGGAGTTAGACCTAGAAGGAACCCTCAGAGAAAGGAGGCAGGGCATTTCAAGCGGAGGGAACAGCACAGGCAAAGGCAGGATGATCGACAGGTATGTGAGGTGTTCACAGGAAGGGGACTCGGTAGATGTGGGAGGCTTGAGCAGAAGGCCTTTAATGCCAGCCTGAGGAGTTTGATGACAAAGCAGGTGGGAAGTGGGACGGTGGCCGTTGCCTAGTTTCCTGGGCAGGAGTGGGCCTCTGGGGTACCCCAGGAACTGTGTAGAGGTCTCCTTTGGGTTCCCAGAGGAGGAATTAGAGCAGAATCAGTTCAGTGATTACACACAACATGCAGAATGCTAGTTGGTGATGTGGGATTTTTAGCTTTAAAAGCGAATTTGTGGCCATCTGCTAATTTTTATAAAAGAGACGCTTCTGATTCTGAGTGCATCAGCTTCCTCCTGTAAAAGCGAAATCCTTTCTTTCCAGCACAGGCATTTCATCTTGCTCTTGATGCTCAGATGGAACAGCATGGCTTCTGTGTTTTCCAGCTGAATATTTTTATCATAAAATCCTCCCATGGGCCCTGCCCAGCCACCATGGTTGTTAGCAGCGTCTGAGCCCCTCTCGTTCCCTTCTCACTCCGATCGCCTGTCCTGGCTGCTGGCCCGCGGCTGGGCCTCTGGGTGCTTGGGCTTTGCCTGCCTGTGAGGCAGGTGGGCTCATCCTTGGGGGATATTCAGTCCCCAAGGCCATGGGGCAGCCAGACAGGCAGCCTGCCTGGGCCCATCTTAACTGGTATGTCTTTGATCCTTCCCACCCTGTGCACTGACCTCTGACCAGAATATTCTGTGGGAGAGAGCAGGGACCCAGGCATGGTGGTATCTGGGAGGAGCCATGGATCCCCATCTATGTTTTCCCATGGTGATCTCAGATGACTCCTATCTCCACACTATTTATAGCTCAGACCTAGGCTAAGCCTGGCTGTCAGGTCCTGTAAATCTGCCACTGAAGTTCTCTCCACTTCATGAAACCCGAATTACAGCTTCCAAGTTAAGAGTTGTGTATGTGTATGTTTGTGTGGTGATGGTGAGCAGGTGGACATGTTTAAAAGCAGAAAGCATCTCTTCCTAGAAAAGTCACTCTTTTATTGTATTCTCAAGGAAGACCTTTCTAACAAGCACCCCAGGCATAGCACACCCCAAATCAATTTCATCATCTTCCCCCAAAACCATCTTGGGAAAGGGCACTACTCTCCTCACAGCCATTCAGACCAGAACTCTGGGCCTCTCTCTCACACTGCTCCTGCCCAGCCAGCCACCCGCCTCCTCGCCAGCCCCAGCCCCAGCCCCAGCCCCAGCCCCAGCCCTGCCAGACACATATCAGCCCTGCCAGACACATCTCTGACACCCTCGATGAGCCATCCTCTTGCCATATTAGTAGCAACCAGTCCAGGTAGCTGGAGTGCCTCTGAGTGACCCAGGCAGAAGCATTCCTGCAGAAGGCCATTACTCCTAATTCTCCCACTCCCTTCCCACCATCTGCCCCTTTATGGTGTAAGATTCAGCAGAATGTTACCTGCCCACCCTCAGAAGGTCTGACCACTTCGTGCATTATGCCTCATGCCTGATAGAGACCTGCCCAGGGTACCTGTAATATTTTATCAAACTTATTGTTGGTTATCTTGGTCCCCTGTTAAGCAATGTCTATTTCTGATTCTTGTGCTTGGTACCTAATAGCACTTAGTAAGTGCCGTTACATAAATGAATGAGTGTGAAATGCTTCCCAAAGACATGATGGGAGTGTCCAAGCCTGGCAGGAAGTGGTGGAGGGAGCGCAAGCCTCTTTGGAGGCTGGGCTGGAGGACTCAAGACTGCTTCAGGCTCTGACAGTCAACGAGCCTCTGGCTGTTGCAAGGATAAGCAGCACAGAGGAATTTGCTTTCCTGGGAGTAAAAAGCATACTGGGAGACTTGGCTTCTACTCCCAGTTCTGTCACTTATTCTGGTGACTTGGAACACCTATTTCCCTCTTTTGGCCTCAATTTTCTTCATCATTAAAATGGGGGAAAGACTACCTGAGTAAGTGGGTACCTTCCCCTCTCCTCATCCAGTCCCTGTGACATCAGTGCTGGGGAACCCAGCACAGGCCAGCCCAGTGGGTGCAGCGAGGGCATGTAGTGGGGGAAGAAACATGGGATCCCTTTCAGTACCCTGAGCCTCAGGCAGGGGACCAGGTTCCAGTCCTGACTGCTGCCAGCTCTCAGGACCCTGGCTCTTCTCCAGGGGAAAGGAGCGAATCCTCCGTGTGAGAACCAGATGAGCTGTGGATATGCAAAACCTACACAGAGGGCCCGGAGTATACTGGGAGGCGCTGGACTGAGGCACAAGCTTGGGCTGTCTCTGGTACCAGCAGTATAGCTTTGAGCAAGAAGTGTACCCCTCTCTCCACCCTTCTTTCCTCATCCATAACATGGGAATGGTAGCAACATGGGCATTCAAGAATTGCTGGAGGGGCTGCAATGAGGTGTTGAGTGTAAAAGAGGTGTCATGAGGGCTGCCCTGCTGGGCATGCTTGCACGGGTAACACGGACACGCCTAAAAGTCTGGTTCACATAAACCCTCTGGTCACTTCTTTCGCTCTTTAGGTTTTTGTTTCTTCACATCTACCCACAAGCTGTTGGACATTCTGATTGTTCCAGGAATCTGGCCAGAGTCTTCTCACCAAAGTGCCCATTGGTTTGCATTTATTATTCTGATGGGGGCAAAGGGGTGTGCAGGAGCTCAGGCACCAGCTGAACTCTAGCCCCATACTGGGCGCCCTGCAAGTCCCACACCCCTCCCCCAGCTCCCAGCCACAACCTGAGTACATCTTCTGGGTGGTTCTGCTTTATATGCTCAACGTTTGCACAAGCTGATTCAATTCTTGTTGCAGCCCCTATGCATTGACCTGATGACCACAGGTCTCAGCTGAGCTTGGGAAATGGAAGACATCCAAGTATAAACAGACTTTTTCCCTCTACTTCCTGTCTCTGCCACACCAGCAGCCCCCTGACTGCCACTCTCCAGCTCTACAGACTTTTTTCTCTTGTGGCCCATCTAGCTTGCTGCTTGGTCTTCATCTGCAGACACTTAATTCATTTCAAAACACTCTCCCTTGTTGCAACAAAGGGAACCCCTCTTCCCTGTCCCCAGTCATCCTGTAAGCTAATGCCTCCAGCCTGCGACCTCCTGGCTAGTCCTTTCTTCTTTCTGGCACTTAACTACTTTGTTATGTGATCAGTGTGTGAGCTTATGATGTCTTGCCCCTGAGAAGATGTCAGGGTAACCATAAGGGGACAGATAATGCAGGGGCATCTTAGGATAGAAACTGCTGTTGAGGCAGGAAGGAGTCCAGGAGCTCTGAGAAGGAGCTGAGGGAAGCTTCCAGCAGGTTAAGACCCTAGTCTCATTAAGAAGATCAACTAAACGTTTATCCTAGTGGAGTAAGGCTCTTCAGCTGCAGGGCCCTGTGTGCAAAGGACAAACAGTGGAGCTGGATAAAGGGGTTTTATGCCTGTAAGGTCAGCGACATAGAAGTAATTTATGAATGAATCTATGGTACTACAGACCCTCATCAGTGAACCCTGACAAACCGGAGGGCCATCAGACAGCCCACACATACTGTCCTTTAGAAACAACTGACTTCAGACTCTGCTAACCAAAAAGTTAGCAAGAGGCTTCACAATACTTTGAGCCACAGAGGTGGCTCCTGGCGCACAGAGACAACTGTCTTACATCTCATCTCCATTCCTTTCCAGTGAGGAAGAGGAGGCTTGCAGACCTGACTGGGCCCATCATTCCCAAGTGCCGGAGTGGAGTCTAATGCGTGGTGATGATGACCACGCCTTTGAACTGGACATGTTCTACGGATGATCTGTGCTCTGCGGTGGAAACCAGAAGGCAGAATGCCGGCACAAAACCCCTTTGTGGTTCAGTTCTTTATGCACTAAGGTTTTAGGTTAGCTAGTGGTTATAGTTAAAATTTTATAAATTATGGTTAATGTGAAGTTTTTCTTTAGTCACAGAATTTCAGTCTGGTTATTATTTAAAAACTAAAAAGCCCCGAACTGGCAGATCTTCCTGAAGATGACATTACAGCAGCAGTAACTTAACCCCGAGAGCCCGGTTTTGGTGGCCTTGCTCTGTGGCATTTCAGGTGTGTTTACAATGCGTACCACACGAACAAACAGCACTCTTCCGCACGGTGTAGAAGCATTATAAAATACTTGATTATAAATTTGATCTTAGCTTTTTAGCAAGCAGAACAGATTCTTTATTAACCTTCCTTTAAATTGAAGGACCTCAAGATTAAAGTTGCCAAATTGATTACTGGATCAAGAACAGAATTTGTCCCTCAGGAAAGACAGAAAGACTGAAGCACAGCGCACTGCCAGGGATTAGCGAGCACAAGATTCCCTTGCTGGATACAAGGAAATGACAGAAAAGCCAATGGGGAAATTCCAAGTTTCAAAAACCATCCTGTCTTTACCAATCCTCGGCAACAAACAGCTCCTTGAGTGTCCTTTATGACATTTGGAATTTGGAATTTATTTACAATTTAACACCGGAGTCAGGATTTTTTCCTTATAGAATGCTAACCTTATGATAGATGTGAAAACCTATGGCCAAATACTTGAAAATACCTTTTTGTATTGCCGTGGGAAAACATTAGAGGGATAAATGTCGTCTGTGCTGACAGACTTCAACTACCTGTGGCAGCACTTATTAGACAAGTCACTGCTAATCTCTTAATTACATGCCTGTAAAAATCAAGCCTCTGAAGGCCAATGGCGAAGAGCCAGATAGTAATAAATTAGGAAACCCTGGCCAAATCATCCCAAGATGATTATTCTGAAAAAGCAATTTTGGTATCTCTGCCATATGCCTTTCTAACATCATGAGCACCTCTTGGGATCCAGCAAAAATGTGAAGCCACAATGCCCCTGTGCCTTTTAACATACCACCGTGCCAGTCAAGCTAGTATTTCTGTTGCTTGGGGAGCTACTTTCATGAGTGACTGGACAAATCTTAAGATAAAGGACAGGCCACAAAGCTGACAAGCAGACTATTCTATAGAGCACTGGGCAGAGCAGCTTTTGATGAAAACGGAAAAGTCTTACACACTGAACTGTAATGGCCTGGACGGTGCAGGGTAACCAGGGGTGGAGCCAGGGCCTCACCACTATGGAAGTGTCTACTGAGGCTGCAGAGGGGCCTAGGAGTGGCACCACACTGCAGGGACAGCCATCCCCACCGGCTTCTCCTTGAAACACAATTGCAGCTGTATTCTGCATCACTGGAAACTGCAATCTAACATTAAATCTGTTGGTCTATGAATGGCTGTGTTTATGTGTTTCTTGGGACCTGTGTGACAGGGACACACGCCCGACAAGGCCAGGAAACCACCAGTGCTGAATGACCTCATGCAGAATGTGTCTTGTATCCTGAGGCACTCCTGTAAAAACCACCCAAATGTCAGTGTCATTGAGCTAATATGAATCTCTCACAGAAAATACTTAAAAGCTAAGTATAGTGCATGCTGGGGGAAACAGAGACTATTAGGGAAAAATCTGTTAGAAGCCAAATCAATAAAAAATGAAGGTGAGCCATCTGTTCCACCAGACGAGCTGTTGGTCTAGACCAAGAGGTGGCAATTTTTTCTGTAAAGGACCAGACAGTAAATATGTTTTGCAGGCCATAATTTTTCTGTTGTAAATACTTATTTCTGCCATAAGCCATATGTAAATAAATAGGTGTGGCTATTCCAATAAAACTTTATTTACAAAAGCAGATGGGCCAAATGCTGTAGTCTGCAGATCCTGGTCCAGTGCACTCAAGCTAACAGAGATGAGGTGAGGGCAGGGGTGAATGGCAGGTGACCTAAAAGGACTGGTTCTAAGGAGTCTACTTTCAGGGCCACGACTTTCACACTTCTGCCATCAGGACAGGTTTGGTGACAAAAAAACTGACTATGACCAGCCCTGATATGTGGCACAGAAAGGGCATGACCTGATCACCAGGCTCAAGGCTCTATCCCTCAGCTGCTTTGGGATCCCACAGAGCTCACCTTTTCCTGTGCTCTAGCATCAGAATGTCTCAGGTAAGTGGTCTGCACCAACTCCCTTTTCCCTCCTTTTATGAAGTATAGGTGGCCAGTATGGTGACGTCTGCCATGGTGGCACTGGCCAGCACTAAAAGTCCCCATTTCTCTGTTGCTGCAGCCTTGACATTCTCCAGATCGTGGTTGCCTCAAACCTAGATGTGTAAGGGCTTAGGGAAACGCTGACACACTAAGGCCCATCCTCACCAACACCAGGTCTTGGCTCTGGGCTTCTGCAGAGTTGCGCCTGCTGTGCAAGTTCATTGGGTATGCGTGGCCTTCGGGCTGTACATTCACATTCCTCTTTAAAGCTGTTCTGGGTAGGGCTTGAAGCTGGCTTGCTCCCTTTGTCTTGACATGTGACACAACAGGCTGTGAATCCTTGTCCTTGACAGGCAGGGCATGTCAAGACTAGCTGGCGGCACTGGGGAGTGGAGCAGAGTTTATACTGGTCCCATGGGGCTCCACAGTATGAACATTCTGGGGAAGGAAGAACAATCTTTGTTACACACACACATACACACACACGCGTGCACACGCGCACACTTCTCCAGTTCCTAAATATCTCTTAGCTCTTTAGAATCAAATATATCCTGTTGCGCCTATGAAAGTTTTCTAATAGTAAGTATCCTACCTTCTAACAAAAAATGCCCCTTATCCCCATTTTTCAGGAGGAGAGGTTGCTTTTGGAAGTTGTCTTCCCGATTCCAGCGTTCACTGACCCATTTTCTTTTCCCATTTAGAAAACAAGTAGTAATTCTTCTCCCTTTCATTAACTATTCCAAAGCTAGCCAAACAACCCCTTGTTCAGTGGTCGTTTTCCTTTCAGGGAACCTTTCTTCTGCCAAGGTCCATTTGGATATTTATAACATCATTCATGGGCCATACAAAATTATCAGCTTAAAAATTAGCCTGCTATATTTGGTCAGGATAATTTTGTGAGGTATGTGATATTAGCTGGCACTGATTTCTCGGGCCTTATACAGCCCGCGGGCTGGACATTCCCTACCCCTGCAGATCATTCGCTTTTTCACTGAGACAACATACCTGAGTGCAGATGATCCCACATCTACATTCAGCTTCTGCAGCCCACACCCCTCTTCCCCAGGCCTGAGGTTCTCCTGCTGTTTGTTGCTAGCAGACACTTGCCACCAGGATTCCCAAAACTCATGTTCATCTGCTTTCTCAGTGGTATTTCCCTGCTGACTTCTGTTATCATTGGTAACATCATCCTTCTTCAAGTCTCTTTACCTAGCTTATGTAAGCTACCTTTGGGCCTTCTCTCTTCCCTTTATACTCCCACCTAGCTCCAGAACAGATGTGAAGTAGCTTTCAAGAAGAAATACAAATACAAGACCCTCCAAACTAATTCAAGGATTAAGAAGGGGAGAGGACAATCCAGTTCACATCTTATTATCTGAATATTAATGCAATCTCAGTCTCTGATCCCCATTCTAGAAAATTCTAATAGCCACTGACGTTGTCTGCCTATGACCTTTCATACTCAAGACTGTGGCATCCAGGGGTAAGAGCCATTTTTCTAAAGGATTATTTCTATCCTCCTTCACTGACTGCTCTCATTTGGTACCACATTTTAGTGTGGACTTAAACCACACTTCCTGTGGCCACCCCTGGCTCTGGCCTTGGCCCTAGGTTCAGCTCCCACCTTGGAATGCCCCACCCACCACTCAAAAGTACATACCACATGTGTCCACAGACCATCTAAACCAGGGGTTCTTTTATTTTGTGCCATGGATTTACTTGTCAGTCCAGTGAAGACTATGTAAATTCTTTAAAAATACTTTTTAAATGCATAAAATAAACTACATAGGATTACAAAGGAAACCAATTATATAGAAATACAAAATATTAAAATATTTTTTAAAATCTGGACTATAGTAAGATATTAGCACATTAAATAATAAGAATTAGTGGTGGGCCTAATAGCTATTTGCATTTTGAAGCGAAGATGAACGAATATAAATACTATTTTGAGATACTGGTAGCAATTGTAATCTATGAAAATATTGTGATTTTTATTGACAAAGTCACAGGTACATCTAATATTACTGATTTGTTGCTTACATTCATAATTGACAGAAGTGTTACATTTAGTGAAGGTTTATGAAAATAAAGATAAATTATAATTCCCACCCAAATTCACAGAATCCCTGCATTCTACATACTGACCCCAGGAGAAGACCCGATTAGCCTGTTTGTTCAACACCTAGCAGGTCGAGAGAGCAAGGGACATTATCCCCATTTTAAGGACTTGCCTAGTGAATAAACACTGAAGCCATGACCCCAGTACAGGCCCTGACTGCTCCACCGCTGCATCTCCAACTCTGTCGGGCAATGGTGGTGCTACACACCCCTTTTCTGTTTTATTCTTCATGTAATCAGTGCCTTCCAGAATGGCTAATAGGGAGAGTGTGCTGACCACAAGTTTAGGTTCTGGGCGTGTGCTGACCTACCTGACACTATGTCACTGTTGTAGGACAAGGCATAACGCTCATCGAAAACAAATAGCTTCCCTTTGTAAAAGCCATCAGGAAACTCTTCCAGGTACTTGTGGATGCCACCCTTGAGCTGGAACACTTCCTTGCACACGCCCTGTGTACGGAAAAACAACAGGAGATCTGAGGAGACGGGCAGAGACCAGGAAGGAGCCCCAGAGGGATGGCATGTGGGGAGGGATGCCCAAGCGTGGCTCCTGGCTCCCACTGCAGGACACTGAGAAACTGCTGACCAAGGGCTCAAGGAACCAACTGGCCAGATCTTGCCTCCCAGAGGGATGGGTGATGACAGCGGCCAGGGCCTTCACTCTCTAGATCCTGGGAAGCTCAACTATTTTTGCCGCCCCCTAAATATAGGAAGACACCTGTTGGGACATGTAACATTACTGAATTTGCTCTTGTCAGGATCAAGCAAAAGTATTAGGCAAAGGGAGATGTTAACTAATCGTTCCCCTTTGTACTCATGAGTCTCTAAGACTGCTAAGTGTTTCTCACAGCTTAAGATTTAAGAACTTCAGATTCTGTACTTATAAACTCTAAGTTGAACCCACACAGGGGGAAAATAAACCCCCTGCTGGCTGGGGTAGGAGAGGAAATGGGGGGGGGGGCTCCACACCTGCTGTGGGTGGCACCTTCTTTAGCACCAGGCCTGTAGTGCCCCAAGAAGGGTGACTCACCTTGGCTTTGAGGTAAGCTGAACCCCGCTCACAACGGATGCCCCCAGTGCAATACATCAATACCCTCTTCTCCTTGAAAAGTTCTAGATTTTTGTCAACGTAGCTAGGGAAGTAGCTGAATTTCCTGATGTCTGGGGCTAAGCAGCCCTGGAAGTGTCCCTATAAGGTGGAAGCAGAAGGAAAATGGTCAAAAAAGGATACCTGGTATTCTTTTTTCTGTGCCAAACACCCCCTCACCCACCCGCTACCTTGGCAAGGAAACACCTGCTAGTTGCTGTTTTCATCCCACACTCTGACCTTTCAAGATCTGGAACTGAGAGACAAGGCTGGTGGCTGTGGGTCACCTTCCCAGAGTCTTCAGGGGAAGTGGAGAGGATGCCCAAAGCAAACTTTACCAGACCCTTGACACATGTCAAGGGTAGGCACATGGAAGCCAGAATGCGCACTATGTGCCAAGATGTCTTTGGTTCATATTTCCTTAGACTTTCTCACCAGATACTGAGTTCAAAGGCCTGGGTTTTCTCTGAAGCTGCTAGCAGTGGGAAGAGATCCATGTGCCCTGACCACAGGTGGGCACACACAGTGGGGACCAATTCTGGTTCTTACTATTTTGCTTTCATAGAAGTTTCTGCAGTCCAGGAGGATAGTATCACTCTGTTCTTGATTTGCCTGAGACAAAAACTTTTCTACTTCTTTATGAAATTCACCTGGGGATAAATGGATTCCTAAAACCAAACAAAAAATCAGTTAGAACAAAACAAAACAAAAACACAAAGCCCAATCACAGTTGGCCCAGACCAAGGACTTAGATGTTGTTTTGTTTCTTTCCACCGAACAAGGGGTGGGGGACGTCCAGCCCGCAGGCCATATAAGGCCTGCAAAATCAATACCGGCTACCATCACACACCTCACCAAATTAGCCTGACCAAATATAGCAGGCTAATTTTTAAGCTGATAATTCTGTATAGCCCGCAAATGTTATAAATACCCAAATGGCCCTTGGCAGAAAAAAAGTTCCCCACCCCTGAGTCCTAAACTTTTTCATAATTATAATTATGTCTCCAAATAATACTATCTGGTGATCATGATGAAATAATGTAGTAATTCCAGGTGTCCTTACTCTCCCTCCTCCTAAGATGAGCAGTATGGAGACCTGGCAGTTTAGAAATAATTAGTCAAAGAAGTTTACATCCTCATACTTGGCCTAACCTAATGACAAAAGCTAGACAGTTGGAATCTAAACTGCCATGTGGATTTGCTGGTCCATTTTATGGCCAGTCTTCTATTGTCACTACATATGGAGGATCCTGGTCATTTATATGCTTGACTACAGGCTTTATAAACTGTTCTATCCCAGGTTGAGCAGGTGAGAACACAAAGTTGTAAGAAAAGGTTAGAATATGTGTTTTTAAAAATACAAAAGGGTACGAAGAATGTGTCTAAGTCTGTGTGCATGAGGAAAAGAGAATAAGGTGGGAGGGGTTAACGACAGGAATGATATATGAGACAGAAGCGTGAGAGAGAGAAAAGCATGAAAAGGTTAGAAGACAGAGAAGAAATAAAATACAAAGAGACTAAAAGGAGAGAACCTGTCTGGTGGGGCCCTTTGTCTTCTTGACTCTCTAGGACAGAAACATCCCTGTACCTCTCGAGGTTCAGACATCTCAGTAGATTGTGAGGAACTTCTGGAGAATTCGGCAGTGTGGAGTAACCACACCTCCGGGCTCGTGATGAGGCTGACAGCACCACAGGAGCCTCACTCTGCTCAGGAATGAATCCCAACCACCACCTGGAACTGCTGGGTACCCAGGTGGGGCAAGAGACCCCAGAGCATGGCCAAGGAATCTGGGTTCCAACCCACCTAACCAAGATTGTAGGGACAATGAAGTAAGATCAGATTGTACTGTCATGTTACTGTTATGTAATTACATGGTCACCAAAACAGTGGGGTGAACAGTGAAGTCCAGAACTGTGATGAGGAGCATGGAAATCTGCTAAGAATTCTACTTACAAGGACCATCTGCTGCTGCTATCCTGGCCTTGGGAAGGGCTGACTGGACAGTGACTCATAGGAACATGTTTAAAAGAGGTGCCTGCAAACTTAGCTCAAATAAAAGCAGCACAGTACTGCCTGGAGCCCCCTCTTCCCCAGCTTCCTGAGAAATGTCCTGTAGAACCAAGGAAGAGCTGTTTGTAGTCATCTTCCCCCTGCTAAGGTAGGGACACTACGTGGACATGGCCCTTTGTGGCCCTTCACTTCTCATACATGAGTCTCTTTTCCCAGATGCTTATATCTTACTTCTATTTCCCTCTGGCTTCACTCTTAACCTTCTTTTAAATATTTACATATTAAAAAGTGAAATAGAGTCGGTCAGATCTTCATGCTTCCTGATGAAAAGAAGACAATACAACCTATTAAGTAGTCTTGGAAAAAAATAAATTAAAAAAAAAAATCAAACCTGAATCTGATCAAGTCTATAGATCTTAGCTGTCTAAGATGGCAGCCAGCAGTCACATGTGGCAAACGGGCTCGTGAAATGTGGCTTGAGATGTGCTCTAATAAGGTGACAGAGACACAGGACTTCAAGGACTTAGTATGCAAAAAAAAAGCTGAAACATCTAAATAATTTTTTACATTGGACACATGTTGAAATAATATTTTGGTTGCAATGTATTAAATAAGGCATATTATTGAAATTAATTTTATTTCCTTTTACTTTTTAAAATGTGGCCACTAGAAAATGTAAAATTTCATATGTGGCTCACATTATATTTCTATTAGGCAGCACTACCAATTTATAGGAAATACAGAGAACAAGAGAATATCTGATGGGGCTATGATGAGCATTATCCTGATTCTGGAAAACTCTACAGGCAAAATGATGAAAAAATAGTTCCTTCAGCCCTGGCCAGATTGGCTCAGCAGTTACAGCATCAGCCCACGGACCAAAGGGTCCTGGGTTCGATTCCTGGTCCAGGGCACATATGCAAGAGGCAACCAATCAATGTCTCTCTCTGACATCAATGTATCTCTCTCTCTCTCTCTTTCCCCCTCCCACTCTGTCTAAAGATAAATGGAGAGGTATCCTTGGGTGAGGATTTAAAAACAAAATTATTTTTTAAAAAGAAAAATGTTTTAGGTGTGATAATGGTTTTGCCATTTTTCTCAAAATCTTTATCTTTAGAGACAGCTACTAAAATATTTGTGAGTGAAATGACATAGCAGGATTCCCTTTAAAATAGTCCAAAATGGGGGAAGGGCACAGATGAAAGTTGGCCATGAGTTTGTAATTGCTGGAGGTGCATGACAGGTACATGGGAGTTCACGATACTATTTTCTCTCTTTTTAATGTTTGAAAATTTTCATAGTAAAAGGTAAAACATAAACAAGAAAGCCCACCAAACAGATTTCTTCCAAGCATCTATGTTGACCTTGAGCAAGAGGGGAAAGAGAACATTCTAGAGCACTGCAAAAAACTGCTTTGGTGTCGAAAGTGACTTGCTTCTTGTAGCAACAAGCCTGTGTGTTTTATTCAGTTGATCAACTATTTACAAGTAATAATTACACTATTCCCAAACTGCCATCTTTTAAAAGAGAAAATGACTTCTTGCCAAACCATCAAGAATAACTAAGGCAGGTCATTCTGAGGTGGGGGGGGGGGGGGGGATCTTCACTTACCATAGCACCAAAGAGACAATTTAAGCATTGAATGACCCACATGTTAGCCACCCACAGCTATTTTGATGACAGGATTCATCACAACTCTAGCAGATCAATGTGTCTCAGTTCCTTGTCTCTATGTTGTTTTGTCCTTCTAAAAGCAAGCATACCAGGTTTCTTGTAGGAGATCTTACTGGGACTGATCCCCATAGGCACAATTTCTTCAAATACACCAACACGCAATTCTGGAAAACAGCAAGCTCCTCCTTTGCTGGTCTAGCCAATGAGAAACAAAGCAGAATACAGTCTTTCGCTCCATCTCCAGGTGTAAGACATTCAATAATGTTGACTTATCTAGAACATTCTAGGCCCTAATTCCCTTTTCCCAGCAAAGCGAATTTCTATTTGAGATTTCTTAATACTTCAGCTATCGTATTATCACAAAACAGACTTAATTCTTATATTTGATACTTATTTACTGCATATCTACCATCTACAGAAATGTCACATTGAAAAGGTGTTTGTATAGCAATAAGCATTTAAAATTGAAAGACCACTGAACAATTTCAACATGTAAGGTTACATCCCAGCTTTTGTTCTGGAGCAATGATCTCTCTTTACCCATCACCGCCAGCACTAACACTAGCAAGGTACTTCCTACCACCTCTATCACCTATTATGATAAAGCAGCTGATAAAGAGCTACCTTGTTCCCAGGTGGTGTGAAGTGCTGATCTGATCATTCCAGGTTTACTGAAATAGCCAGGCAGTCCCCAAGTGAGCAAACACATCTAAGTTTTAGAGTTTAGATTGTGTAAACTGTTATCAACCTTATTCTTTAAGCAGGGAGACTGAGATCCAGAGAGGGCACTAACTTGTCCAAGATCACAAGGCCACTTAGTGGAAGAACTGGAACAAGGACACCTTTCCAACACACTGCCTTGTAACCTTGTAACGGGGAAGGTTATATATCTGACACTGTTTATTTCTCTACATTGACCTCCTCTTCATGACCTACAGCAGGAAGAGGTACTGAGGCAGAAGGAAATAGCTCTACAACCATTTTCTTTTCAATGTCTCTTACCTTAAAATCATCTTTACACAGATAATCTTTAAACAACGGGCAGGAAAGCATGACTTCCACATAGAGTCTGGTGGCCAGTTTGCTTCCACCAACTGTGCCGTTGATTCCTTCCGTAGCAATTCGCACCTGAGACACAAGATGGTGAGAGGAAGGGACTGCAGTCTGTTCTTAGCTTAGTTTAAATCTTTCCAGGGCAGAACAGGCTCAGGTGTGTCAATGAGTTGAACAGGAAATGCAGAGACACTGCTGTGGACACCAAAGTGTTACCACACAAAGATACTTGTAGTTTTCTAAACTGGCGCTGCCCACAGTTCAGATGAGGTACTTAGTTAATGTGTGCTGAATAAGAGCATGAAATGAATGAAACTACTGGAAAGCCCCATTTGCTATGGAACTCCAGTTGTCCAGTGGCCAAAGAACCACATTTTTAGCTTAATCCAGGTCAGCAGATCTAGAATTAAGATTCAGCTTTGCCACTTACTTGCAACATGCCCTGAGGAAATGAATTTACTTCTTTGAACTTAAATTTCTTCATCTTGATGAAACAGGGTTAAAGAGAACCAACAATGAAAACCACTGCTGGGGAAACAATACCCAAGTCCTAAAGCACAGAGCACACCTGAGAGCTGGGAATGGAAGTGAGTACATCTCTGCATGGTGTTTGGAGAAAGCCCAAACCCACCCACTAGAATACAAAGTTGCAGGAGGAGTGTGTGTTCGTTTTGCTTACTGTTGCATAACCAGTGCCTAGAACAGGACCCGTCTCATAGAAGACCTTCATTATGTGTCTGGTGAACAAATGAATGTGTATCCACATCTGAGGCTTTCTGGCTTCTCAAACCTGTACTCTCTTTGAAATGCTTCACTGGTTAGGGAACATTAGAGTCTGGATTAAGGCCCCTGCCTTAAGAGGCAATGCTCTGGGGACCCTGCAAAGTTAGTTTTGGTGTGACAAAATCCTTGGATGAGTTTAAAGATGGATCATCTTTAGAGGGAGCTAAGCTCTCTAGAGAAAAGTGCTAGAGAGAAAATGCAACACTTGTATCACGGTACTCTCTGGAAAGAGAGATCATTTAAGGTCCCATATTGTTACTACTATCTATATAACAGTGATACCGCCCAATGCATTAGAATTTGAAAATTTTTAAAGGCTCCCCTTTTTCAGGGCCCAGAGAAGATACTTCATTTGCTGTCACACTTGATTCATTTTTTTTTAGGGCATGAATATAAATGGGATTCATTTCACAAGCCAATGACAGCTCACTAGTAGTGGCTATCCGGGGTTCCATCATGAGCATTCTGGACCACATTCAGGCTTCTTAGGAAAGAGTACTAGTCTAATGAAGAGTACAGTCTTATGAAGCCTGTTCTCAGCATGGGAGAAGAATGTGGGAAGTATAGGTCACCTCTGCTGCACAGACTGCTATACCCATTACCAACTTATATATACACATCCCCCCCCCCAATTTAACAAAGTTATTTATTAATTAGGCTTTATTTCAAAATTGAGATAACTATAGGTATTAATACTACTAATACAAATAATACATTTTTTTTTTTATCCTCACCCGAGGACATTTTTTCATTTTGTTGTTGTTGTTGTTGTTCAGATAGAGTGGGAGGGAGGGAGAGGAAGAGAGAGAGAGAGAGAAAAAAACATCGACGTTAAAGGGACACATCGAGTGGTTGCCACCTGCAAAACCCAACCAGGGCCGGGGACAAACTGCAACCGAGCTACCTGCCCTTAGCGGGAACCGAACCTGGGTCTCTCGGGACCACAGGCCAACGCTCTAACTGCTGAGCCAAACCAGCCAGGACCAAATAATACTTTTTTGCTACTTGTTATTTTAATAAACTTATGAAAAGAGTAGAGATCATTAAAAATGAATGCCCATTTCTGTGTATGTATAACAATATTAATGGGTCAATGTTTAAAGTTTATTTGTCCTATGAGTAATATTAACTATCTTCTCTCCCACTAGACCTGAAACTTCCCTCTAAACCATGTTCAGAGAGAATTTTTTGTTTAGGTGTTTCAACTTATGTATTTTTAAGGGATTACATAGAAAAACAGAGCTGAACCAGTATAAGGGTGAGAAACTCTACCTAAAATTGTTTCTGACCATGACAGATATGATGAAGAGGTACATGCTTCTACATAACTGTCTTTGGAGTAAATTAGTAGATTCTTTCCTATGTTATTTTTATCTCAGAACCCAAATAAAGACAAGCACATCCACTCCCTGTACACTTGGGGCACAGCAATCTCTAAACTCATCAACTAGACTTTCAATCTCTAGGATTCTTCAAGGAAAACCTTCATAGTAGCTCCTTGGTGAGGAAGGTCTTAAACCTCAGAGATGAAAAGCAATAGTTAGCATTTACTGAGCACCTATTTGAGGCAGGAGCTTTATATTATAATCCTGAAAGGTAGATGTCATAATCCCCATTCAATAGAAAAGGAAACAGAAGCTCAGAGAAATCAATTAACTTGCCCAAGGGCACAAGTTGGTAGGTGTAGATCTGGGATTCAAAACAAGATTTTATTGGCTCTAACTCTCATAATTTTTCCTTTCCAAAGCAAAGCCTCCAATGCATTCCCTTAAATATCTTTAGGGAATAATAAATGTACAGCAATAGGGACAAGAAGCTTCCTTCTATAATTCCAGAATTTTCAAGTTCTCCTCTTTCCCTACCCAAATGCCAATATTTTGACAAATCTATCAGCAGAAAATGATCTCAGTAAACTGAACATGTATCATTGAAACCTAAGAATTTAGACCCAAGATCTAGGCAGGTACTGCCACCTTGTGGGTAAGGACCCTCATTGCTAGCTAGTTCACTTTGGGTTGGGCCAAGAATAAAAATCTCCTAAACCAAGGGATTGATTTCCTATTTTGTACATTCAGGTTTACTGTGAATACATCCATCTTTTATGATCTCTAAATAGAGATGGTGATACATGTATTCATTCCACAAATGTTTACTAAATTTTTTACTATGCACTAGGAATTAGGGATAAATGTAGTGGTTGAAAAAAAATAGTTCTTACCCTCCTGAAGCTTATAGACTAATGGAGGTCACAGATATTAAGATAAAAGTTATAAACTGACCAGTGCTATAAAAAAGTACTGTAAGATGCTATGAGAGAATATATGTGGAAAAAATAAAATTGATTGAAGGTCAAGAAAGATCTCTTTGAGAAGTGAAGAATGAGTAAAAATTAGATAGGAGAAATCAAGTGGGTATGAGAGAGTTCCTTGAAGACTTTTCTTGTAAAAAGGCCCAAAGACACAAAAAGACTTGTGGGCTCCAAGAAACCACAAGACTCTGTTGAAGGAGTGTAGTAAGTAAAGAATGGTATCAGGTAAGCAGAAAAGGTAAGAAGGAGCCAAATCATGCAGGAACCTAAGGGCATGTTAAAGATTTTGGTTCTAGTCTAAGTGCACTGAATAGCCACTGAAAGATTTTGACGAGGGAGTAATATAATTTTATCTACCTTTGAAGATCATTCTGGCTGTTGTATGTGGAATGGATTAAATGGCGGGGCAGGGATAGAAGAATGGAGAGTAGTTTGGAAGCTACTGAAATGGACTAGGTAGGAGTAGGAGAGGGTGGGGACTTGGTCTAAGGTGGTGGAAGTAGAGGACAGAGTGAATGGAGTCAAGGGACATTTTAGAGGTAGAAATGGCAGGACTGGGTGATAAACTGAATGAGGTAAAGTGACTTTCAGTCACTATCTATTAGAAATCATGGATGTGGAAAATGTCACTGACTGATCAAATGACTGCAGGGGAATGAAAACCTGGATGTGTGTGGGAAAGATTAGGCATAGATCGCAGTGTCCTAACTACATTGGATCCCAGAGGGAACTTAATTCACTTACTTTTGATATAAAATTTAAAAAATATATATATAATATACACATACATGTGTAGATATGTAATCATCAAGGATATTTTTTAAAAAGATAAATCATCCATAATCCTCTTATAGAGAAAGTCATAATCAACATTTTGATATCTACTACCCTCCATCTTTACACACATACACACACACACGCACGCACACACACACATGCACACACACACACACACACACACACACTGTGGTTTTGTTACAAACACACATTCAGTCCTTTATTCTCCAAATATTTACTGTCTACTATGTGCTAAGCCCTGTTCTGGCACTGACAATACATCAATTAAGACAAAGTTCCTGTCTTCATGAAGCTTACATTCTACAGGGGACAGAGATAACAAATTAAACAAAGATTGTACTTTCAGATAGTAGCAAATTATTTGAAATTCTTTGGGTAGAGGGGGATAGAAAGTGATGAGGCTTACAAAAAGGACCACTTCAGATTAGAGTTCTGAGGAGATAACATTTGAGCAGAGACTTGAAGTGAGGAATGAGCCATGTGAAGATCTAGAGAAAAAGCATTCTAGAGGGAAAGAAAACAGCAAATGTCAGTACCACGAAATGGTAAAGGCCATGACATGTTCTAGGAAAATTAAGAAGAAACTTGAAATCACACCTATATGTATAGTTCTGTAAAATGTTTTTCCAGTTACTATATCAAGAACATTTCCCTATGCCAGGGGACATTATGCCTGCTTTTGCATATAAAAGGCATACCCTTCTTTTACATATTGGAAAATAGGTATACCCAACTTTAACATATTGTCTACACTTGTTCTCATGTTACAATGGCAGGGTTGAGTAGCTTTTTGTGCAAAGTCTAAAATATTTACTATTTGGCTCTTTAAGAGTTTGCTGATCTCTGGTCTATGCCATTAAATATTCTGACAAAACACCATATTAATAGCTACTTAGTATTCTACTTAAATGCCTGGCAGGAGTTTGCTAATTTCTAAAACTAAACAATGAATCCTTCTGTAATGAGCACAGCCTCTGCAATATAAGTTGGAGGCCAGAGGAGCCCAGTGGAGGATGGGGAGTGGAAGAAGCTGTTACCTTGCCTGTAAGGTGCAGGTGCTGACACAAAGCTGACTGCCAGGCACAGATCCAATGGGGATCCTCCAGGTCACAGTAGCAGTAATAAAGTAGCACGTCTCCTTCATCACTGCCCTGGCCACTGTAAAAAGAAAGCCACAGGGAAAGAGCATTTGAGTAGCTGGCGTAAGACAGTCACAATTCATAAAGTATACCCAGGCAGTGTCAGAGGGAAGGCCTAAATGGAGCAATTCCTGCCTGCCTTTGCACATACTGTTGTTCTCCTGAAATGAGGCAACTCCTATCTGTATTGCTCTAAAGAAGACAGTACCTGCACTTTATAGCTGAGTAAACTGAAGACAATTCCTTCCAGGTGAGACAGCTACAAGTGACAGTCAGGACTTGAACACCAGATTTCTGACATGAGAACCCATACTCTTTCCATTGCACTGTGCTGTCTTATGCTAACTAGTTGTGGGATCTGGGCAGGTCTCTTAACATCTCAGCTTTGATTTCCTCATCTGCAAAACTGGAGAACTGAAATAAGCTACATTTCCCAAAAGTGTGCTGTGAAGCTGTTCTATGAAATCAAGTTTGAGAAACCCTGCAGTCAGTATTTCCCTCTTTTAATCCCAGTAAAAGCCCCTTATTGAAGACTCTGAGAAATCCTGTAATAAAGAACATATTCAACTAGTGCTTCCCATACTTATTTGTCTTTAGTACCTCTTTTCAATACCTGATAACATCCTCCACAATAATGTTGCACAGATATATTTTAGAGAATGCTATAGTGGAAGATAATTAAGGTCCCATCCAGCTCTGGAATCGTAACACTCTCATCAATACCCTCATCATATTTCAGGGCCTAGCTTCCTCCAAAGCCATCTTCTCTATTTTAGAGCCTACTTTCCTTTCTCTAAACTCCTGTAACAAATTTTCTGAACCATACAATTTAACAATCATTATACAGCCTGTCTCATTTCATCTGCTAATTGTTCCATGCCCTTTTCTTTGTTTCTCTAAGTAGAAAGCAAATTTTGAAGTGCAGCGCCATACATAAATGAAAAGGCCATATTTATATAGCACTTTATAGTTCACAAGTGCTTTTACCATCATTGTTTTATATACTTCATATAGAAATACTGTGAGGTAGGCAGGGCAGACATTATTATTCCAATTTTAGAAGTGAGGAAATGAAAGCACAAAACATTTTAGCAACTAGCTCAAATCTGACTTCAAGTTCAATTCTCTTTCTTTCTCCTTTTCTCTGATAAACAAGGTGAATTTAGCACTAAATACTACTGATAAAAGTATATCAAATTTGGCCCAGCCAGTGTGGCTGAGTGGTTGAGCATTGACCCATGCACCAAGAGGCTGCCGGTGTGATTTCCAGTCAAGGCACATGCCCAGGTTGTGGACCCAGTCCCCAGTGGGAGGCACGCAGGAGGTAGCCAATCGATATTCTCTCTCACCGATGTTTCTTTCTTTCTCTCCCTCTTCCTCTCTTTCTAAAATCAATAAAAGGAAAAAAAAATTTTTTAAGTATATCAAATTTAGACATTAGTTCAGGAATTGCTTAAAATCAGAAATCTGTCCTCTAGAATTCTGTAGTATGATTTGATAAGTTTTTCAAAGGCAGATTCTAAACCTCTAATCCTATGCCTCAGTTCTAAAAGTTAACATACTTTCTAAAACATACTCAGCTCAGAAAACCACATTTGGTAACAAAAAAACTTGTTTTGAGCTGACATTATTCACAGTAGAGGACTCATTAACATTTCTGGGCCTTCTGATTTCTCTGAAAATAATACAATTCTCTGTTCCTTACTTCTCCCTAAAGATAAGATACAGGATGGCTTTCAAGAAACTTGGCAACACTGCAAGCTCTGTAAGTATATGCTACTGCATAGGCTATAATCTTCTATTACACATGGTGCATGTTTATCAGCCTAGCTTAGGCCCATAGAGAAATTCTGTGCCTTTAGGATCTTGCCATTTTAGTGGATGGGTAGTGATATCTCACTGTGGCTGGAAAAACATTTTTTAAATTAAACCAAAAGCACAGAATAAAATTCTTACCTTATCAGCTCATCAGGGCTAAAGCAACTAATATCAGGGAGCAAAGTAGATACTTCATGGTTTCCAGTAAGGTACTCTTTTAGAGGGTCCCTTTTGTCTGCAGAATTAAGACTCTTTGAGGTGCTCAATGTCACAGCCAGCTGCTTTAAAATAGAAGCAGTCTGGTGGCAAATCTCATCAGCATGTTGTGTGGCCACATGTCTATGGATGCTGGTCTGGTCCGTGAACAGTTGCTGACAGCATTTCCACCATATTTCTTTACATTTATAAGAAAGTGCTGGAACTTCTTTGGTTTTGACAAAAAGGGCAAACGCCTGCAATTACATTTCAAATTGTCACTGTTAAATAACCGTAGGTTTAAGACTAGTGGAAGCCTCAGTGAAATTCCTTCTATTATCGTTCCACGGGGATTTCTAGTTTTGTGTCCTACTATTCAATAGAACATGGGAGAGTAACAGGTTTTTTTTTTTTTAAATCTTTATTGTTGAAAGTATTACAGATGTCCCTCCTTTTTTCCCCATTGACACCCTCCTTCCCGCCTCCCTTCACCACACTGTTGTCTATATCCATTGGTTATGCATATATGCATATAAGTTCTTTGGTTCTTTTCCCACTCCCCACTCCCTTTCCCTCTAAGGTTTGTCAGTCTGTTCCCTACTTCCGTGTCTCTGGATCTGTTTTGTTTGTCAGCTTATTTGTTCAATATGTCCCACAAATAAATGAGATCATGTGATACTTATCTTTCTCTGACTAGCTTATTTCACTTAGCATAATACTCTCCAGATCACACCATGTCATCTCAAAGGGTAAGAGATCTTTCTTTCTTATAGCTGCATAGTATTCCACTGTGTATATGTACCACCGCTTTTTTATCCACTCATCTACCGATGGACACTTAGGCTGTTTCCAGATCTTAGCTACTGTTAATAGTGCTGCTATGAACACAGGAGTACATATATTCTTTCTGATTGCTGTTTCAAGCTTCTTAGAATATATTCTAATATATTCTACTTAGAAGTGGGATCACTGGGTCATATGGCAATTCAATTTTTAATTTTTTGAGGAAACACCATATTGTTTTCCATAGTGGCTGTACCAGTGTGCATTCCCACCAGCAGTGTAGTAGAGTCCCCTTTTCTCCACATCCTCGCCAGCACTTGTTGCTTGATGATTAGTTGATGGTAGCCATTCTGGCAGGTGTGAGGTGATACCTCACAGTTGTTTTAATTTGCATTGAGGGAGTAACAGTTTTATTAGTAAGCTTTATACCAGCTGTACCAGATCAGGAGTCTAGCTAGCAGCTGCCCTACTGCCTGTCCATTCTCCTTATGACTAGCTCTCTGGGTTCCTAGGATTCCTCCCCTAACCCTGGGTGGGGAAAGGAATCCAGCCCATCTGTCTAGGATCTGTACCCCGCCACACATGTTCCAAAGCCACATCATGCCTATGATTCTCCTTTGCCTGGCACTAAATTAAGATTACTGATAATGGCCCTGACTAGCCCTTACCTTTAACATGGCAACAGCCTATTGTCTCACTATCCCTCCACTCCCTGGAGGATAATCTTGATGCGCTACTTCTAGATCTACCTCCATTAACTATACACACATGATCTTGAAACATCAACAACAATTTTAGCAATTTTACCTTTTTCTTTGCAGATGAGTATTTCTTCTTTGTATTGACATCTAGCTCTACTTTGAGACTGCTATTGGGATTAATAAGACTTGTGTCTTTCAAATCCAAGTCTAAAAATCTTAAAACACAGGCCTCCAGGTCATCTCCTTGGTCTGGTGAAGTAGAAGAAGGCATCTGGTTGCAGCAGCAGTGGGGCAGATTTCTTTCAGTTAACTATCTTCTGAGAAGTGAGCAAGGGAGAAACAACAATGTCCACGTCTTTGAGTACTACTTGAAATAAACTTGAAATTAATCAATCATGCAAATGAGCATGGGCCCAGTAACCCAAGCTATCCATTCATACACTCATTCATTCAATAAATATTTGTTTAGCAAGCACTGTTCTAGATACTAGGGATACAACAGTGAATAAAACAGAAAAAGTCTTAGAGTTTACATTCCAATGGGGACAGGCAGAAGGTAAGAAAATTATTTTATTTTATTTTATTGTTTAAGTCAAATGGTAAAAGAGGCTATGAAGACAAATAAACAGAGGAAGGAGCCAAAATGATGGAGGGGAATCTTTAAAACAGAGGGTAAATAAAGTCTGAGGCAGTAGCATATAAGCAAAAATCTGTAATGAGAGGGCAAGCCATGCAAACATTTAAGGTAAGTGATACCAAAAAAGCACTGGGTACAACCAAGGTATGAGCTAGTAACTTCAGTTATAAACACTTTGTTCTTTTTTGTCCCCTAAATTTTTGAGCTATGCAAATTCCCTTTCTTAGAAGACATAACTACCAAGAGAGCTCCATTTTAGTGAGCCAAAAGAAATACTACTGTGCAAATTACTACTGTGGCCAAATCTTGTCAAAATAGACACACTACAACCAACATACTGCATTCTTTCTTTTATAAAGCAAATGTTACAAGTGACAAAGAGGCAACATGAAACACCGGGAAAGGGAATGGCGTGAAAGGGAATGGTGTGAAAGGGAATGGCGTTGGCTTGGGATCCGTGTAGCTGAGTGCAAGTATGTGAACCTGGGCAAGCTATTAAACTTCTCTGAGTTCTAATTTCCTAATTTCTAAAATGCAATGACAGCATCTACCGTAGAGGACTGTAATGAGGATTGGAAATGAATGGGTAAAGTGTCTGGCACATCCTTAATTTCCCTACAACTCTAGGTTCATCTCAGACAACACTCTCCCTCACATTACCTACTCTGGCCACAATGAACTTTGCCTAGTTCCACAAATGACCCATGCCCTCCCCTGTCTCAGTCTCCACACATACCTTACCCACCACCCCAAAATGACCTCCCCTCACTCTAAGTACATTTCAGTTCTCACTTTAATTTAGATATTCTTAACTATTCTACGTGGAGACTGCAATACATCTGGCACATAGAAGAGTGTTGTGGATGCAGGTCTTAAAGAAACAGTTAAGCCCTGGCCGGTTTGGCTCAGCGGTTAGAGCGTCCACCTGCGATCCGGAGAGACCTGGGTTCGGTTCCCGCTAAGGGCATGTACCTTGGTTGCAGTTTGTCCCCGGCCCTGGTTGGTCGTGCGGGTGGCAGCCACTCGATGTGTCCCTTTCACATCGATGTTTCCCTCTCTCTCTTCCTCTCTCTCCCTCCCACTCTGTCTGTACAAAAAAATGGAAAAATGTCCTCGGATGAGGATTTAAAAAAAAACAGTTAAGGTCCCTGCTCTTTTTAAGCTTATATTCTAGTAAGAGGAGCAAGGCACTAAATAAGTAAGCAAATTTAAAAACATGAAATTATCAGTGGTTAAGAGCTGCTGCTTCTCAATTTCCTTTGCTGGGGATCCTCCTTACCATACAGCCCAACCTTTAAATGTTCAATCACTTTACCTACACTCACTCTCTGTGATCACATCTAGTTCAAGGACTTAAAAAATAAATGTTCTCAGAATAACCGTGCAAGGGGGAAATTATATATGTGAAACTGGATTGGCCATTAGTTGGGAATTGCTGAAGCTGGTTGATAAAGTACATGGAGGTTCATTACATAATTTTCTCAACTTGTGTAAATATTTGAAGCTTCCATGAAAACAGGAAAAAAAAGGTAAGCAATCATAATAAAGGGAAATTTATGTTTAGAATACTATACACTAACTCCAAATTTTTTCTCTAGGCTGGGCCTCTCTCCTGAACTCCAAATGGACATATCCAACAGTCTACTGGATAGCTTCAGCTGGAAGGCTAACAGGTTGTTCAAGTGCAACTATTCAAAACCAAACTCTTGCTCTTCCCCTGTCTTCCTTACCTGCATAAACAACATTTCTATTCTTCCTGTTACTCAAAGAAAAAACTTTGGGCTTCTTCTTGACTCCTTATTCTTTCACTGTCACCCAGTCCCTCAGAAAATCCTATCAACTTTGAAATACAATCAGGTCAGAATACTTCACACCACCTTCACTACCACCCTGTTCAACCTACCATCATTTCTTGACTGCATTACTGAAGCCTAACTGGCCTCCTCATGTAAGAGCCAGAAAGGTAACTATTAAAAAATAAGTCAGAACAGTCTCCAAAGGCTTCTCAACTTACTCAGATTACAAAGCCCTTTCCACCACCTCTCTAATCTCATCTTCTATTTGTCCCTTTGCTCTGCCTGTCCACTTCTGAATTGGTCATCCACACGAAGAAAGCAGGGATTTTCCTTTGTTCACCTCTGCACCCTCAGCATCTAGAACACTGCCAGGCACCCAGGAGGTGCTAAATGTTAATACAGTATCTGTTGAATGAAATAAAACAGTGATCGGGTAGCCAGAGAGGGCTTCACTGAAGACCTGATGTTTTAGCTGAGACCTGAATGACAGGAAGCCATCCATGCACATTTGGCAGCAGACATCCACAGGCAAAAGAAACAGTATCATTTCCTAAAGTGGGAACACGCCTGACCTAGCGAAGGTACAGGGAGGAGAGTCGGAGTGGCTGGAGTACAGTGTCGGGACAGTAGAACCCTGTGGGTAAGGGTTTGGGGTTTGCAGTGAAAAGTCATAGGAGAGTCGTAAACCAAGGAGCAACGTGGTCTGAGTCTAGATTTGTTTTGAAAGTAGGGCCGACAAGCTTTACAGACCCATTGTTACGTAAAGGTGGAAGAAATGTAGGCCCCAAGAACGACTCCTACCTCTCTTTTTGGATTGAGCAAAATCGATGAATGGTGCCATTTACCGGACTGGCGCGCCAGGCAAGGCCAATCCCTCCGCCCGGCTTTCCCGGGGAGGCAAAGGCCTGGAAGTGGGAGTAAGAAGGGCACGTACCTGCCAGTCCGGATCCTTGCCTCGCTTTCTTCATAGCACAGTCTCCGCCTAGACTGAGCACTGCTCCCCACCCTCGAACCTCCGGGTCCCGCCTGCTGTTGACGTAGAAAGGAACGCTGGAGACGTCAGCTCGCTCCGGAAGTCTCCGCGGCTATTAGCGAAAGGGACGCTGGGAAAACCCGTCCCCCGAGGGAAGGTCTGAAGTTGAGGCGGGGACAGAAGCGTCCCTCCTAGACCACCCGCCTCCAAGCGTGGCTCGCCACCCCGGGCTTCGGCCGGCTGAAGAGGCGGCGCTAACTACGTGGCCCCGGAAGGACTTGGAGCGAACGGCGGGAGAGGGAAGCAGCTGAGAGGCGGAGGAAGCCCGAGGGGGCAGCTGCGAGCGGACCCTGAGCCCGCGGCCTGGGGAGCTCCTCGACGCCGCTGAGCCCACCCGGCGGCCTCCCCTGGCTTCCGGGAGCCGTCACGAGCGAGTGCGCCTGCGCCCAGGCCACCCTGCGCGCCTCGCCGCCGTCCTCGCGCCGGCCGGCGTTCCGACGGTTCCTTCTGTGCTTCACGCCCGGCCGCTCGGCGCGGCGGCGCAGGGGCCCGCGGCATGTCGCGGCGGCGGCGCAGAGACGAGAACGACGGTAAGTGCCCTGGGCCCGGCCGCCGAGGCCGTCCCCAGGTGGGGCTGAGGTTTGGATTCCTTGGTCTTTGCGTCTCGAGGGAAGAGGACGGGAAGCCCTTCCCACCCGGGAGCGTTCGGAAAGCCACGGAGGGAAGGAGGGTGGCACAGCGCGACTGTGGCCTGGCGACTTCTGGAAAGCTGCTTCTCCCCGTCCCAGACACTTTCGTCGTTGGCTGATTGGAGGCCTGGGCGTGGGGGAGGGGGGCACGTCTCCAACGACTTTTCAGGATTTGGGCCTTAGCGCCGCGGAGCAGGGAAGTACACCTGTGTCTGTGCGGCCGCCTCATAGGGACAGTGACGGGGACCCTCTAGTCCTCGTGTCTTGTTATGACAGTCAAACTGCACCCGAAAAGGCCTCCGGGCAGACCGCTGAGGGAAAGGAACAAAGCCTTGACGGAAAGATCTGATGAATCCATGTGAGCTCCCTCCCCTACCGGCCATGGTGGATCTGCCTGCCTTTAAGCTGCAGGGAAAGAGATCTATCCACACCCAAGAGGTCATAATAAACAGATGCATGTTGTTGTGTTAGATTTTGAGCTGGCTTTAACTGTATTTCCCTGGTGTGGTAGCGAGCGTGCTGGAAAACTAACTGGAGTGCTCTTAGAGATCTAGCTCAAGGGTTGCCATCCCCATTTGGAGGGCTGTGCTCCTGGGGATCATGGTGCATCCTAAAAATCAAGAATAATTTTGCTAGTTAAAAACAGAAAAAGATGCTTGCTTTACATAATCACACATCCACACAAAAAAGACTAATTCTATTAGTATTTTAGTGTATCGTTCTTTGAAAAGACTGTAGTGTGGTGGTTAGGTATCCAGACTTTGGAATGAGGGGGTTTATGTTTAAAGCTAAACACTACCATTTTCTTTGTGATCTTGCCCAGGTTATAGCACCTTTTTAAACCTTAGTCTGTAATATTGAAGTAATATAGAAGATGGTACATCTTACTAGTTTTGTGATGATTAAATGAAATAATACACGTGATGAATGGCTTATGATGATGTCTATTTTATCACTTGTTAATGCTTAAGAGGTGATAAACATTGGCAGATGTCAATAATGTAAAAAAATATATACAGAACAAAAAGTTTTAATTAAATTAATTTTCTCCGCAAACATATTTATCTCATTGAGTGTTGGTGCAATTCGGGGTAGGGAAACCAAATCACGTGTATTTAGTGTTAACGACGAAACATCAGATTTCTGCTAGGGCATGGCTTGAGAGACTATTCTAGTCCAGCCTTCTCATCTGACACCTGAAGGTCTTGAGTTTTAGTGTCATTATCATGGAGTCACAGCTAGCAGTGAGATACCAGTGAAAGTAATTCCAGGGTTCTTTTCACTGCACAGGTATTATGCTCATACTTTTTTTTTTTTTAGACATAGGCTTTTTGTATAATGGACATTTGGGGCACAGGAAATGTAGTTTTTATGTGCTTTGAATTTGATTACTCGAAAGCTGGTATGTTTGAAGTCATTACTTGGAGTTTAGAGAACTTGAGCCTTTTCAAGTTCTTATATTTTCCTTGCTTTACTTACTCATGCTTTCTTTTCTCCATTCCTCTTTCTCCCTTCTTGAGTAAATCTAAAGGGAAAGAAAATGTTTCCAGAGGGCAGCCTGGAGAATTGGATTTGAATATGTAGAAATGCAACTTTTGCTCTGGTTATTGGGATGCTGGCATAATTTTCTTGGGGGTTAGTTTTTTTTTTTTAATACCAGCTGGCAGCTAAATTATTATCTATTGGGTCTTGCTGCAGGTAAAGACAGTAGAGTAAAGCGTTAATTAATCCAAGTTTAGTATTCACTAATAATTTAGTAATGGAGGGAGTTTATAGTACATCTTGGATACTACACCAAATCTGGAACTTTTGTAAATTGCCACAATTCGGGGAATGATTAATTAAGGCTTACCCTAAACAGTGATCTGAATCAAGTATTCTATATACTTTTGTTTTAGTTGAGCATCTATTAATTTTTTCTTAAATTAGAAACATTAGGAGCTTAAATATTATTGCAGGCTATATTACTATAATCATGGGCTGAGTTATTATAGTTTAATAGACACACCAGAGTATTTCAGCATTATTTTCAGCTGTTAATCAGTTACCTACTGCCATGGCTTTTCATATGCTTCATGAGATATAATCATTTATTCAACAAGTATTCAACAGTGCCAAGCATTGTCCTAACTACTGGGAGTACAGCAGTGGACAAGATAAAGATGGAAAACAGACAGGGAATAGTCAAGTAAAATATAGTGCAATGGCCTTAAGGCTTGAACATTCATTCCTGTCTTGTTCACAAAACAGCCAGGAGGCCAGTGTTGCTTTAGCAGAGTGAGGGAAAGAGTTGTAGGAGATAGGATTAGAGATGTAACAGAGGATCAGCTCATAGAAGATGCTTTTAAAATTGTATCTCCGTGTTGAGACTAGAGTATCTAGGATCCAGGGAAACATTTAGGAGACTCTAACAAGGAAGTTCACCTAGGGGTCAATTTATAGACAAGGAAAGGAAAGTGGAAATTAATGTGTATGGATACTGATCCAATGCTAAATCTAACTTATTTCTTAGAATCTCTTTAAGAGTATTTCTGATGCTTTTCAGTTATAGGATATGTGTAGGACAGTAACTGTTCAATACATTGTTTAGATCTTTTAAAAAAGTAATTAGATTGTTCATAATCTTAGTCAAAAACCCACATTAGCCCCATTTAAGCTACTTAGATTCTTATCCTTTAGACTGTAACTAGTTTTTTACTTAACTATAGAAAAATAAATTGAATAGAAGTGAAGGGATTTGTTACTTTTAGAAAGAGTATAGTTTGTTTCAGAAGTTATAGTTACCTCTGCTTTAAATCTGCAGGATCAATGTACTTTACTTTTCCCTTGTAGGTTTTTGTTACTTTACTTTCCCTTGGACCTTGTTGGTTTTTGTTTTTTTAACTTTGTGGGTCTAAAACTTCTTACAGTATATCTAATTCTAAATAAGGATATAAGCTGTAGGACAACATATCCATATAAAATTAGAATCACCTTACAGGGGTAAAAATTATTTGGTGTATTAAGATCCTTTTAGATGGGTTTAAAAGAGGACTTGTGTCTCGGATCCCTACTAGCCATGAGTGTCTGAGTGAAGTGGCAGTATGTAACTTTAATTTACATTGCAAAACTTCTACATAGTTACATTTTAATATAAAATCTGTTTTACTTTGGGAGCTACCATAAATATGTTTTCTTGAAGGTATGTGAAGCATTCAGCTAATTCCCCAAATGTTATTATTTTTTTTTAATCCTCACCTGAGGATACTTTTTCATTTATTCTCAGAGTGGGAGGGAGGGAGGGAGGAAGAGAAACATTGATGTGAGAGAGAGACATTGACTGGTGGCCTCCTGCACGACCCCAACCAGGGCCCTAATCACAATCAAGGCGCTTGCCCTTAACTGGAATCAAACTCGTGACTCTTTGGTCCGAGGGCCAATGCTCTAACCGCTGAGCAAACCTTCCAGGGCCCCAAATGTTATTCTTAATTAAAATGCTTTATTCTGCCCTGGGCTGTTTGGCTCAGTGGTTAGAGCATCAGCCTGCAGTCCAGAGAGACTCGACTAAGGGTGTGTACTTCAGCTGCAGTTTGTCCCTGGCCCTGGTTGGTCATGTGGGTGGCAGCCACTCGATATGTCCCTTTCACAGTGATGTTTCTCTCTCCCTCTCCCTCTCCCTCTCCCTCTCCCTCTCCCTCTCCCTCTCCCTCTCCCTCTCCCTCTCCCTCTCCCTCTCCCTCTCCCTCTCCCTCTCCCCCTCTTCCCCTCCCCCTCTTCCCCTCTCCCTCTTCCCCTCCCCCTCTTCCCCTCCCCCTGTCCCTCTCCCTCTCTCCCTGTCCCTCCCTCCCTCCCACTCTATCTGAACAAAAAAATGGAGAAATGTTCTCAGGTGAGGATTTAAAAAAAAATGGCCCTGACCGGTTTGGCTCAGTGGTTGTAGCATCCGCCTGCGGTCCAGAGAGACCCGGGTTTGGTTCCCGCTAAGGGCATGTACCTCGGTTGCAGTTTGTCCCCGGCCCTGGTTGGTCGTGCGGGTGGCAGCCACTCGATGTGTCCCTTTCACATCGATGTTTCCCTCTCTCTCTCCCTCCCACTCTATCTGTACAAAAAATGGAAAAATGTCCTCGGGTGAGGATTAAAAAAATATGTTTTATTCTACTCTCCCATGTTCTCATCCAGGTTCTCTTCTGAGTTCAATATCCTGTTATTGTCCATGTCCATGAGTTCAAATTGTGTCTGTAGTTCACTCCTCTCTTCAAATTCTCTCCACTATCAGGTGAGAGTGGGACATCTCTTCTTAATACTTCCTGCCTCTTTCCATTCTCCAAAATAAAT